AAATTGAAGCCAAATTGCGTGCCAAACAAAAATAAAGGGTTATATATATAGGATGACGCTATATCTCTCTTTTTGGAAAACTGAGTTCAAAAAATGGTTGTAAACTGGAGTATCTGGCAACAGAGATTGTTTATCGTCCTACTTATTATGGACTGCCTATAATTTCACTGTGGGTTTGGAATTCAAAGGAGCTAATTACCTAAAGGCAATCCGTGATGAACTTTTAGATTAGGATATTGGGTTATATGATAAGGACGATCGATGACAAAAATATGCTGTGTTCTTTTTCTTAAAAAAATGGCTCAGCCCCTTATCGATGGCCAGCAGCCACCGCTAGTGCTTGGCCACCGGTGTGGTGGCTACCAGTAGAGTTTTTTGTCACAGTTTTTTTTTATATGAGAGAATATTGGTTCAAAGTGACATGAGTGGGATTTGATCCCATAACCCCTTGGCTATTTGGACTAACAAAAAAAAAAAGATGACCATTGGGTCATAAAAAACTTCTTAACCTTATAATGCAAACAAAAATATAAGTTCACTCTTTTATTATGACTCCAACCTATGACAATAATTTACTTGAGGATGACAAGTCTTAATTGAGAAATAACAAGTCTAAATTTGATATTAACAAAGCAACTTTTTTCTAATACATAATAAGAAGTAACATGTACATTAATTAAAAATAACCATAATTTATTTGAAAATGACATGTCTTTACTAGAAATGACAAGTCTAAATTTGAAATTAACAATGTGTCTTTTTCTGATACATAACAAGAGATAACATATACACTAATTAAAAATGACTATAATTTATTTGAAAATGACACGTCTTTATTGCAAAATGACAAGTCTAAATTTGGTATTAACAAAGTAACTTTTTCTTATACATAATAAGAAATAACATGTATATTTCTAAATAAATTGTTGTCATTTTCCACTAAAGACATGTTATTTTCTAGTAAAGACATATCATTTTCAAATAAATTATGATCATTTTTAATTAATGTACATGCTATTTCTTGTTATGCATCAGAAAAAGACACATTGTTAATCTCAAATTTAGATTTGTCATTTTTCAGTAAAGACGTGTTATTTTCAAATAAATTATGGTAATTTTTAATTAATGTACATGCTACTTCTTGTTATGTATCAGGAAAAGTTGCTTTATTAATATCAAATTTAGACTTATTATTTCTCAATTAAGACTTGTCATCCTTATGTAAATTGTTGTTACGGGCTGGAGTCACAATAAAAAAGTCAACTTATATTTTTGTTTGCATTATAAAATTAAGAAGTCTTTGATGGCCCAATGATTATTTTTCTTTTTGTTGGTCCAAGTAGCCAAGGGATTATGCGATCAAATCCCACAACTGCTACTTTGAACCAATGTTTTCCCATACCCAAAAAAAAATGTGACAAAAAACTGCACCGGCAACCATCACACCGGTGACCGTGATAAGGAGAATTAATCTATTGAACATCAATGCCTATAACAACTAGTCCTCGTACAATTAGAACTTTTTCCAATCATAGTGAAGCCAGACCTATTCTCCAGTGGCATATGGCTCCGATATATATTTTGCTCCTTCAAGGCCTTATCTTCATATGTTCAACAAATATATGGGCAGTTTATTTCGAAATTCATGAAATAAAGTTACGGAGACTTGTCTGCTCACTATGATGTCTCATGATAACTTATGTTCTCGATGTTTACAATTATAATGCTTAAAAAAAGAGTGGTGGATTATACTTGTCGGGGGAATTCATGTGGAATCACCCAAATAATAGTGCATATTCACCCATAAAAAGGCATAGGGAGAAATGCTCAAAAGTATACTCAGTTTCGTATTAGGAACCTATACTTCCATCAGAATCATGATTTTAATGATTAATAACGTGAAACCAAATTGCGTGCCAAACAAAAATAAAGGGTTATATATATATAGGATGACGCTATATCTCTCTTTTTGGAAAACTAAGCTCAAAAAATGGTTGTAAACTGGAGTATCTGTCAACAGAGCTTGTTTATCGTCCTACTTATTATGGACTGCCTATAATTTCATTGTGGGTTTAGAATTCAAAGGAGCTAATTACCTAAAGGCAATCCGTGATGAACTTTTAGATTAGGATATAGGGTTATATGATAAGGACGATCGATGATTAGCATTTGGAAACTGGCACTTGCGAAATGTAGCAATATTTTTTTTATTTTGAAGAACATTTTCTTTGAAATTTAAAGTAGAATCAACAAGGGAAAAAAAAAAACTCTTTAAGAAATTAGATGTGTCTGGACCTCGAAAGGGTCTAAAGAATTGTTTCGAAGCCATCATTGGCTTAACCTCTATATATATATGTATGTATGTATGTATGTATGTATATGTATATGTATATTCGTACAGCTTATGGCTTTCGAATTAAGTGAGGAACAAGGATGTGTAATTATTGGTTCGTCAACGCCCAGAAAACACAGAGCAGATGAATGCGTCACAGTCACTATGTATTATTCTTCCCATCATTAGTATAAGACTTTATTAACTAATTTGAATAGATTAAGAATGTTAATTAAATTAGTTAATATGATATTTTTTTTCTTAAAACACCCTAAATATCTTTTTTAATTCTTTTTTCCTTTCTCTTATTTGATTATTGTCAAGAAAATATTTATAAGGTTAATTTAAAAAAAACTGATAAACATGTGAATTAAGATTTATATATAAGATCAACATCAACTTTCTAATTAGAGTTTATATTACTGATTGGACGAGTGCTATCGAGATTTCAGATCAAAACCAGACATTGTCTCTCTCATGATCTTTCAGAAGACCTATATATTACCAGGTTGTGCCCCGACAAGTTAATTTCGTCACGATTGCGCAGGGGTCGGCCGTTCATCGTTGTGGGACTGTATGTGAGAAAGCAACCTTATACGCGTTAATTAGTTATACACGCCTATATATGCATGTCCTTATAGTTGTTCGTTGATTAACCACAACAATTAATTAATTTGTAACCTCTCTCTTCATTTGGCTAGCTCACCAATTTCTTTCTTAAGAAAATAGAAACAGTTATCTTTTTTAAATGTGTTATAAATTGAATTTTATCCCTGCAAATACCCTCGACTTAATGTTAATGTTTAAATTTCTATCTTGTATTTAATTATTTGTAATTACTATCTTCAATTTAATGTGAAAGGTATTTAGAGTTTCATCGAAAAGTTTTCTGTATATTTATAATTTAAACCAAAACGAGCCTCACAAAATTAATTTCCTCATATTCAAGACTAATATATGGGTGGGAGTAATTAGTAAATTCTTAAATTCAAAGTTATTTGTATTTTTTTTTTCAAATGAAATGTTATTTTATGTGCGTTATTATAACCTTTCTTCTTTTTTTTTAAACGTAAGCTATGACAACATGCTGGATCCAACATTATTAACTTTTCATGAAAAAAGCACAAAAATATATCCAAAATTGTTCTCACCAGTTTCATAATTCATACTATGGTTTTCTTCATGAAATCTTGCTTTGACCCCCTCGTATGAATATCATACACATTAGTCAATTTCTTTTTTCGGCCGAAACACATTAGTCAATGAGTAGTTTCTCGTAAAACTGTCTAACCTAACTCGATTCCTTACAAGTACAGTGTTTTCAATTGAACTAATTATAAAATTGTCTACTTCATTCAATTCTTTATGAATAATTTTTTATTATCTCCTCTCCGAAAATAAAATCATTATCAATAACATTTTTTCATACCAAACTAAGAATAACCTATCCGTGAAAGATCCGTATTAATAACAGCTTTACTTATTCAAGTCAATTAAAATTAGGTCCATCTAACTAATAAAATTTTTAATTTAGGATTTTTCAAAGATTTTTTTTTTAGTTAAAAGGTAAGACATCCACAATTTTTTTACTATACTACCAAATAATACTCGCTTTTTTATTAGTTAAGCTGGTTCCTCTGAAAGTAATATTTACTTTTATTCTTGGTATAAAGGCTAGATAACTAATTTGAAAATATTACAGAAATTAGTTATGTTAGGTACTTATAATAAATTGGTATTATTTTTTTTTAAATATCTTTATTAATCATACGCATTAAGATAAAATTCTTTAACATGTGTAACCACATGTTAAATAAATAAAATTCTTTAACCGTTCGGACTATTTTGAGGAAAATAAATAAATAAATATGAGAGACAAAGTAAATTAAGGATTTATATTTAGAATCAAATTGAATATCTAATTAGCTTTTATTTAAAAACCAAAGGTATATTCACTTTTTTTTAAATATAAATTGTATATCCATTAATCACAAAAAAGCAAAATCAAGGTTACGAGTAGAAAAGGGGATCTTCTTTCATCATCATCCATATCTCATCAAGAAAGATGGGATATGATCAAAGATACAATAATTCTCTTGCATCCTATGTGATAACTTGGCAAGGTGATTAGTCGCAAAATTATTGTCTCTTTGAGTGTAATAGACAATCACCTGCCAATCTTTACACAAAAGTAATCTAACTTCAGGTCTCTAAAAAGATGTGCAGCATCACAGCCCCTATGCAAATACTCCTTCCGTTCCTTATTATAAGAGACATTTGATGTTTATGGCATGTTCCTATATATAAGAGACACTTAAAAGTTGTCTCTACTTTTCTGTGTTGATTTCCTATTTTACCCATATTTATTGTCTCCAACTCACACTCTCTCTCCTTCCCACTTCTCTTTCTTTTAATAATTTACCATTGTTCTCTCTCATGTTCTCTCTCCTTATTAATGAGGGCATTTTTGAAAAACAAATTATACTTTTTACACATTAATTGTTTTTAACTAATTTTAATTGCTTTTTTTATTAACGTAATTCGGTTATTTGTCTCTTATAATAAGGAATGGAGGGAGTAATTAATAACATCAATACAATTAGAGTAGACAAAAACATTCTTATAGTTCCTATATCAGCATAGATTAAGACCCTTGCAGTTAAAATCACATGTCCTCCTATCGTTTTTATCTCTAGGCACACCTCCACATCCACTCTTTCCTCCTTCAATAACAGAGCCGTCCACTTCTAGTCTTATTGCATTATCTGGAATGAGAACCCTCACTTCTTCCTCTATTTGGGCAGCATTGTACAAGTTGCTTCTTCTCAGAAGCTCTTGGTCTGCAACTACTCTGAAGCGGCTGATGGGTAAGCTTGTTTCTACTCCAAAAAGGTAGTACTCACTTTCACTTTCAATCAATCCAAGCACACTACATTTTTTTTTCTCATTTTGAAGAAACTTTTGTATCCATTACTCTCTACCAGGAAACCGTATGCCAGCTTTGTGCCAACATTTCAAATCTTATCAACTAAGATGCTACAAAAAGAATCAATTTGGATTGAGGGGAAAAATAATTAATTTTGGAAGTAATATAATCTCAAGGGAAAAAAGACCCTAATTTTAATCCATTGAGGTCACCTCTGACGACGTCGTTTTTCATACTTAAATATACAACTCAATCCCACCAACACCTCCACGATGGCCGCCTCCGCCTTATCCAAATCTGAGTAATGCAAAGTCTGCAACAACAGCGTCGTCGGCTTCCCGTCGTACCTCTGCTTCTCCATACTCCTCTCCGCCTGCCACCTTGTCGTATCACGCGCCACCGGCGTCAGCCACTCCATTATCTCCTCCACCGCCTCCCGCCATCCCTCCGCCGGGGACCGTCCGTCCCCTCCCTCCTCCCACTCCTCCCCCTTCAACCACTGTCCCCTCATCTTCTTCCTCACCTTCTCCTTTAGTCTCTCCGGCAGCATTTCGTACAGCGCCTCACGCTCGCTCTCTCCTATACTCCCTGGCGAGTGTAGGCAACGCTCCGCGAACATAATCACGCTCGCGTATCTGAACGATAGCCCCGCCCCTCCAACCGTCGACGGCGACGCCATCTTCAATACTCTGTTGCTTTTCGCGATTTCGTCATCTTCATCGGGGACGAATCGAATCGGTCCCGATTTGTTTGTCTTCGAGATGGGACCCGACTTGGAAACACGATTGGTCAGGCAGCAATTGGTTTGGTATAATTCTCGGTGTTCAAGGAGGCAATAGCAGTCGCCGAAATTTTGGTCATTCGTTGGAAGACCCGAAATGTAGGGTTCGAAAACGGAACAAATTCGGGCATAGATGATGAAGACGATCCGAACCATGAGTCTTACAGCCTTGTCGAATGTTTGATTCCATAGCGACAGCTCCTTGTAACGCCTCACCTGCTTTCTCTGAAATGCAATTTGATCGCACAAAGTTTGTATGTTCACTTGATGTCTGTAACCAAAGTTTTTACAACCCAATGCTTTCCAGTGTTGCACTTTCTTCTCCGAAGCTTCCATATCGGCGAGACACACCATTGCGTCGTGAAGTTTCGCGGTGGCCAAGACCAACTTCTCCATCTTCTCAACGCTCTTCAGTACACTTCGGCTGCCGAATTGGAGCTTTCTAGTGTTGATCATTCCGGCTTTTAGATCGGCGTAGACAAGATGGAACTGGTTGAGTCCAGGATCAGAGCATTTCCGGCCCAACTGTGAGACAGTGGCTGCGGCGACGTCGAGCTCCTCGAGGCGTTCGGCGCAGGCCAGGTTGAGGAGGAAGCATTCTTGCTTGGAGTTCAAGTAGACGACCCCTTTAGAGTTGATAGTGTGGTTGCAGAGTTTTGAAACCTCAGCATCGGTAAGGGAGTTATAGAGTGAGACGAGGCGGCGCATGGTGTTGGCCGTATCAAAAGCAAGTATCTCAAGGGTGGCCGCCGGTGGCCTGTGGTGGAAGAAATAGTAGCGCTCAACCACCATGATTGTAACTTCAACTGACACTAACCACTTCTAAGGATCTACTGGCATATATAAATGAGATCTTTCCCAAGAGAAGTAGCTACCTAACAAGTGACAAGCTTTTTTAATTAACTTTGTAGTTGTGTTTGCTTTGTGAGAGCATATGGAAGAGAGGGTTCTAGGGTTTATATATGAAGGGTGGTGGAGAGTAGAGAGTTACATATATATATGGCATATGAATGGATGGGAAGCTGAAGATTCCAGGGGAAAGAACGCGTCTGGACAGGGGAGATTCAAAGGGATATCAACTATTATGAAAAGATAGATTAAACAATTATGAAAAGATAGAAACCAACAATGTAGACAGTGGGTGTGTATAGGAATAATACCATAGAATTTCTTTGTCCTTATATTATATCCGTTTGCTCCAACCTTTGACCATCTGTGCTTTCGGTTTTCTCTTTTCACAGGGACTTCGTAGGAGCGGGCCAGGAAAGGCGGAGGAAAGTGTGGGCGCTGTATTTTTTTCTAATTTGTCGGAGAGCAGCAGCATATATCATAATCATAAATATATAATTAAACTGCACCCTCATTAATCCTAGTTATCTCTGCAAAAACCCAAAAAAAGAACAAAAAGAAAAATTAATTTACTGGAATGTACGTAGGTCGTCACGTTTTTAAAAAATTAGAGCTCAACCGTATTTCGGGAATGATATGTGTTTAACATCAAATATTTTTTCATGTGGCTTTAATGATGCAAATTGATTTTCATTGCTAAGAGATAATCCAAATTAATTTTAAAAATATTATATAAGCGACAACAATATACTGTAAAAGCATAATTAACATGACATAAATTATCCTGTATGAGATATATGCACGACAATTGTTATCTTTATTCTATTTTCAGTCCTAATAACTTCTCCTTCTTTTAATATGTCAAAATGTCAAATTTTTTGACATAGTCAAAAAAAATTCTTGGAAAAAAAAAAGTCAAAAATTTTTTTGGCCACGAGTCAAAATATCAATTATAGTTTCAAGAGACGATCGACATTGGACACGCTTTCTTGTGAAAATGGAGATAATTGTAAACATAGAAAATTATTTCCATTTATTCAATGTAGAATATCAATTAGTCAAGGGATGAGGAGGAAGATTATCTGTGTCGGAATTTTTTTTTTTAAATTTCCTCCTTCAAACACATGTGATGTTTTGAACATTAATTTATTTATTTTTCTGAGCGTCATGTATTGGATCAAAATATCTGGAGGGAAAAGAAATCTCAAAACAACTTAGTTAATTAATTAGTACTAGTAATTTAAGAACAAAATATGTTAACGGTAAATCTTAGCGAAACAAATCAGTGTTAATTTATAATTTATAATGATGAGTCACGAGTTTGTACGGGAAGATGAACACTGATCTAATTCTAACGTATGATTGAGTCAAACAAGAAACAAAGAGGGGCCCATCTGCTTTTGTTGGTTCTACTTGGGGACTCGGGTTCAATGTCGCAGGTCGAAGCAACACGTACCCACGATCAGACCGTTTTCACACTGATTCAGTTGGTGCAGAGTGTGAACGCAAGAAATTAAGAAAATGTCTTGTAGCAATGATTTCTAGTGGGACCTTGACTTTAGGCCCCTTACTTGTGAGCATATGAAATTCATCTATTTTACATATCACGCGATTTAGATAAAAATATTTCTTTTCTCTATTTTTTAGTCATACTACCAATTTTTTTACAATCTACCATTTTATCTTTCATAGATTATTGTGTAAATTATTATTTTTTCTGAAGAATATCTATATTACTCATAAGTGCAAATTAATGAAAGTTATAAAAATCTTAAGACAGTAATAAAATTTAAATTTTTTCTTAATTCTAGTAGAATATACTTAAACTGATTTATAAATAGAATCAAATTAATACCACATGATTATGCTGCAATAGAAATTTTATATTTTATATTAATATTAAAACACACATATCAAGGATATATCATTTGTAATTTTTTACATTAAAATCATGACAGATACAAATATTCAACTTCAGAATTCACATACAACTTTTTTTTTCCAACGCTCAATAATTTTTCTATTTTGAAATTTCTTTTTCACTAATTTTTTCTATGCTAATAATTTTTTTTGCATTCTCGTTTTAAAATTTTCTTTTGGTTTATATCAAGATGACAATCACTTTAAAACTTTGATTTTTATTTTAAAATGACAAACGCGTGGTTTCCTATAGTTGAGAAAGTGTGATGCGGATCCAGAAATACTATCGTTCTTAGGCATTGACGTTGTGACACCTTAGCGTCTTGGACTGAGTCAAGAGACGTTTTCATGATTGAAAGTCACGCTTGGACTCATTACCACTTTACCCGCAATGCATCTATATCTATACATTCTTTTTTTTTTATGTTTAAGAATTCATTTGATTTTTATTTTAATTTAAATATAATATTTTAATTCTTTTTATTTATTATATTTATTATTTTTTTAAAATAATCATTATAATAATAATAGTTCTAAGTGACACATTTGATTAGTAATGATACTTTAGGAAAGACAATACATATTTATTATAAATAACTAACTTAAATAATTTTTTTAATATATTCAAATTAGTCAACTAACTCTTATATTTAGGATAAGAGGTAGTAATACTCTTTGTAATTCCTAATATAAAAGCTAGATATAATATATTAATTTGTAGATATTAAAAAAACTAATTAAATTAATTATTTGATAACATATATATTAGTCTTTCTAAAATATCTTATTTAATTATTTGCATTGGAACTACTATTTTATGAAAACTTTGTTAATATGTGCAATCAATATGCATAGCTTGAGGAAAAAATTATATATATTAACTTGAGAGACTTTAGAACTAAAAGAACTAGTATTTAATTTCTAACATATTTGAGCAAAGTAGCTTCGCTGGTTGTTAGTTAAATTTTAACGTGCCAATATCATTGACTCTTAGTTTGGATGGGAAGAAAATTAGACAGAAAATAATACTAAGAGTTTAAAAAAAAAAAAAAACTGTCAAAGTTTTCCTTTGTAGCATTATCTTCTTATTTTTCTCCTATTTTTCCTACGTCCAAAAAGCCTGATCAGTTACACACACACAACCTCATTGGGGCCGAATTTAATTAAATTTTTTTTTTCAAAAGGAACCAAACCAATTTAATTCTTGCTTCATATGCAAGGAAACAGAGATCAGTCAAGTACGTTCCGAGGAACAAAACAAAGTTTAGGTGAATAAATATTTCACGAAGACTTGACCTTGAAGATGATCCTTTCTTGATTGATTGATCAATTAGGAATTAACTTAACCAGGAAGGTGGTGATAGAAAATCAAGTTATAAAAAAATCATGAAAAAGTTGGTGGAAAATGATGGGGCCGCAAGGTTTATTATTATAATATTAAAGACGGAATTATTATTAAAGAGTCTGAAACAAGTTCATTAACAGAACGCGCTTCGCCTTGGATTCTTAATGGGGCAATTAATTAAAAATTTTTTAAAAAAGAGACTAGATAAGGACATGAAGACCCCCAAAGAAAGAACGATGATGGGGGCTGCTGAATTAGTATTGTTTATATATTAAATTAATCATCCAGTTGGCATTATAGTATCACAAATCCAAAATCAACATGACTATGATTATACTCCTCTGGTTCTAAATATAAGACCCATTTTGTAATATACATTACATTAGAAAATAGGTTTTATATTTAGAATTGGAGAGAGTATATATTATTTCAATTCAATTTGTCCTTAACATATACAAGTGAAGGCTTACAACTAGATAAATGTCTAGCACAAAGCGTTGCATGCACATCAAAATCCAATTGAATAAATAACGTCCCTCTCTGTGTCTTCGCTTCTCATTCTTAGAATTCTCCTTGATCTTATCAAATTATTTATATTCTTATATATTCCGGTCCTTAATATAAGAGCTTATTTGATTTTTATTTTGGTCTTAAAAATAAGATCTCAATTCACTTTATCTCTTATATTTATCTATTTTTTCTAAGATAGTCATTATAATAAGAATAGTCTAACCAATACACTTGATTAGTAATGATACTTTAGGAAAGACAACACTTATTTATTACAAATAACCAACTTAACTAATTTTTTTAATTTACTCAAATTAGTCAACTAGCTCTTATATTAAAGACCAGAGGTAGTATTAACTTTATCACAACATTTAAGAAAGAGATATGGATGAAAGTACATTTAATAATATTACAATTTGAATGGTTCAGATTTTATATGTTATAAAATTATGAATAAACTATTAATTCTTTTAATAAATAAATAAAGAAAATTAAACTACCAAATTTGAGCCATTGTAATTTAAAACAATAATAAAAAATATTTTATAAAATTATTTTATATAATATAAAATCTAAACTGTTCAAATTGTAATTTTAACAACTGAGATGAGAAGCGAAGGGAAATGAAAAGAAAAGAAAACAAAGAGACCTCTTCTTAAAAAGAGATATACAAAGAGAATCATGGCTTCATCTTCATGTGTTTGATATGCAGTAGTTAAGCTACGACTTCAAAAATTTTAATATTTATTTTATTCAAAATTATACTCTATTTGATTCTAAATATAAAAACTAATTGAAAGATTTGATTTAATATTGAATGTAAGATATTAATTCACTCTGTCTCCTAAATTTATAATATTTTTTTTAATCTATCCCTGTTAATTACATATATTTAAGAGGATTTCTATCAATGACTGTACTGATTAATATTTATAAATTAGTTATCTAACCTCTCTCTCTATACATAAGACGTGAGAGAGTAAAATATTTTGACTATTTTGTGGTCTCTTGTTTTAAAACATTTTCATTTTTAGGTATTTAAAATTAAGCAATATTTTATTTATAAATATTTAGATGCCACTTCACTTAAAACCAGCATCCTTGTAGCGCCCGTGATTTTGAAAACCCAGTTTCAATTGATTTGGTCACTTTGACCCCTTTTCTTTTGTACCGCGTTCTACCAAACTTTCAATATAAATTTTTCTACTTACCAAATATATTTTTAACCAAAAAAATCTTATTTTTCGCTGTAGCTACCCCCCCCCCCAAAAAAAAAACTAAACACAATTAACAGTGGAATCCTTTTCCACTAATTTTTGTGTCGGAAACGATGTGTTTTATGCTTCATAAATAAATATTACACTTATTTTCTGGCTTGGTCGATTTATGTTGTAATAATTTTGGTTAAAGTATATATGTTTGATGCTTTAAATTTGTATTAAGTTTCAATTTACTTTATTGAATTTATAAAATATATTTTTAGCCTATCATTTTAATACTGTTAGTCTTATTTAACAGAAAATATTAACTCAGCATATTTAAGTGGTAATTATGTAATTCAATGTATGTTGACAAAACATGGCATGTATTAAACTAATATTTAATTACATAATTACCATTATATTTCTCTATATAAGTCACTTGTACCTCATGTTTGCATATTAAGGAATGTATTAAACTAATAAAATTTATCAATAAAAGTTGATTCAGTTAATAAGGATTCGGCTTATAACCTACCAAGTCGTGAGTTTAACTTTCACTATCAATATGAGAATCTTGTTAGTTGTAAGTGAGCAATATGTAAATACATCTGAAAGTAATCTTTGAGCCTAAAGACATGTCCTAGCTTTAATAAACCTCCAAACTCAATTAAACAATTCTATAAAAAAAGTGATAAAATTTTTCACATTTGCTCCAATAAATAAAAGATGTTGAAAAAAATATATATTGTAATTTATCTATTTTTTTAATTGTGTTGATCAATATAGAAATAATCTTTTTCCTATAAGGGACTTACATATAGGAATAGTGTCATATCATTTAAATATGTTGATATATCATTCGCCGTTAAATAAAGCTAACGATATTAAAATAGAAGACTAAAATATATTTTGTAAATTTGAACCACCAAACTAAAATTTGATGTAAATTTAGAGGACAAAAATGCATACTTCGACCAATAAATTTTGAGTTAAGTGATGTTCGAATCAATTACAATTGAGAAGCATCGAAACATAAAAAAAATCTAGTGGCTGTATATGCTTCAATAATTAAATCTGTAAATAATTAATGAACAAGGCAAATCATATGGGTCATATCACCAAGATTCTGAAACATTTAAAATTAGTCTCGATGTCTTGCACCACACACAGCTCGTGAAAAAAGGCTTAAGTATTTTTGTGATATAAATCAAATCAATCTTTAATGGTGTTTACATTTGGGATCATGACAAACTACAGGATGAGAACACAAGATTTAAAATTAATTAAAACGGGGCACAGACATGACTAGAATGATTTTTGGGAGGGAGGGGTCATTTATCACCGAGTCAGCAGAACTTTATTTGTAGTCTGGTGGTCTTAACTGAACCCTATCAAAATTCAAGCACTTTGTTAAATTCTTGGATTGAATGTGTCATTTTCGCGTTTGGACTTTTTAGCCCCTTTCAACGTAGCGTCCTTAACTCGAACTCATTCTTCCTTCAAACTCTACTTCCCTCTGCTTTCTGCTTTTCACACGTTGATTTTACGTGTGGCTGAGGGCATAATAGAGAAAGAATTGGGGACACACTCTTCTAATTGTCTAAAACCACATGGGCCTACACTTCACATAGTGTTAATAAGAATAGGAAAAATTAATGTGCATTTTCATATATAAGCAATATAATACTCCTCCAGTTCTTAATATAAGACTCAATTGTTAAGTTGGTTTTGATCCTAAATATAAGACTCATTTATCATATTTATCAATTTTCTCTAAATTACCCTTATGGATACTCCCTCAACCATAATCAAGTAGAAGAGCGAAAGAAGGTATTAAAAAAGATGATTATAATGTTTTAGGAAAAATGTATCACATTTTTTATAATTAATTAACTTACCTAATTTCCTTAATCTAATCAAATTAGTTAAATAGGTCTTATATTAAAGACCGGAGGAGTAATTATTAAAAAGTTCCACAATATACAATGACAAAACTCTCGTGCCAGAAATAATCAATAACAGGTCAATACTATTCACTTATTATGAGATCATACAAAACTACAGCGCTGGTGTATCCTTTTTTGTATAAAATTTGAAATTAATTATATTGTCGATAATTATGAGTTTCACGTTTTTCTTAATAAATTTTATACTATGTGTAGAAAAGCATGTGTGTGTATTTGTTAATGTAATACTCCTCCGGTCCTTAATATAGGACCCAATTCTTGAGTTGGTTTTGGTCCTAAATATAAGAGTCCTTTCTCATATTTATCAATTTTCTCTAAATTACCCCTATGAATACTCCCTCAACCATAATCAAGTAAAAGAGGAAGAGGGGGTATTAAGAAAGATGATTATGGTGTTTTAGGAAAAATGTGTCACTTTTTTTATAATTAACTAACTTACCTAACTTCTTTAATCTAATCAAATTAGTTAAATGGGTCTTATATTAAGGACCGGAGGAGTATATTATTATTTATCAATCTTTATAATTATGGCACATAATTCTTTAGCGCAATCTCGTGCTCCATCTTTCTCATTTTCTCATGTTTCATGATGAAGACCCAATCCCCAGCAAAGCCCCAACTGAAGCAACTATATTTCTTTGGCCATAAACCTTTTCAAAACAATTTTTCTCTATATACGCCAAACCCTGCTCCATCTAAAAAATAGGTAGGTTTTAAAAGCATATTTGCTGTGTGAAAAAAAAAATGAAATGCTGAGATGATTTTTGTTTGATATATATATATATATATATATATATATATAAATTAATAGAGGATGAGGAGGAAACAAAGATTTTCCTTTGGAGCCCCAGGGGAAGGCAAATTGTTGAGTTGGATGGGAAATCAAACTGTCTTTATACTTCATACCTAGTAAGGTAATCTCTCATCAGTGACCAAATAATTCTTTCACACAAACAGCTAGGGTCTTAGTGTTGGCAAATTACAACTCTGCGCGCATATAGGAACTGAGTTTGGTGAGGACCATTTCAACGAAGGAGAGCACAAAAGTCAGTACAATCAGAGCTCTGCCCAACGCAAGTTGCCATGTGTGAACTCCACCCTCATCTATCATTCTATGAGTTACGGTTTTTAATAGAAGAGCTCGATAATATTCAATTATAATAAATATGTATGATCTTTTTTAAAATATATTTGTTAATTACATGAGTTGGAATTCTTTAATGGAAATTACTTGGGAGCAGAATAGATAAATATAAGAGACAAAATGAATTGAGATATTATATTTAAAAGCAAATTAAATACATAATTAGCTCTTATATTAAGGATCAAAGGCAGCATTTGGTTTCTACTGATCAAAGTGCTAATTATTATTTACCCCAATATTCCATTCTATCGCATTCAGTCCAGCTTGCATGACACCAAATTCTTCAAATCCTAAAAATGGATTCAATTCAAATAATAATTCATAATTTGTTTTTAATTCTCCGAATTAACGCGCTCAAAGCAATTGGACCGAACACACTCTCTCTCTATAGGTCCTTTTCAATTTTCATTTTGAAAAAATAAAGCTTAATTAGTAAATTAATTACTAGTAAACAAGAGTTCACACCCCTGTCATAGCAATGTAGCTTGCTCAATCATGCGCCCTGTTGGCTTGAAACATCCAACATTAGTATTATTAGATCTAACTCTCCCAGAAATATTTCTTGCATTCATACATACATAAATACATATACATATATATATTCGTATTTAAAATTTTGTCTTTATTTTAAGCAATCAATGCGCCTTCTACAATAACTAACGCAGGTTGATCTAATTAAATATTTCTTTCCACAACAAATCTCCATTCTATATCTATTTCTATTCACCAAATATCCTCCTTTATGTTTATGGCCACATAACACCTAAATCAAAATTCTAGTTATAAATATACTTCTTCTGATTATTATTTCCGAAGTTATATTAAAGTCATATACTCTCCCCCTCGTAGTGCAAGATGTGGCTGTAAGAACAATTGACAGTGAAAATATATATGATTTTTTTTTTTCATTTCCTTTTAAGAATTGTGTCACTTTAATGCTTTAGGAAATATGGTTAATATTGTCTCTGTGGTAGACTATCTTACAGCTAAATTAATTAACTCTTCAACTTCAAATAAATTTGAAAAGTGAGAGTATTTTGGAACAAAAGTATTCAGCTTCAAATAAACTGAGAGGAGAAAGAAACAATAACGTCTACTTACATTACGAAATATAGGAATTATAATTTGCTCATGTAATGTCTGCTATAAGTCGTATATTCTGCCATAATATACGGAGCAGAAAGCTTCAGATGATGGATACATACCAAAACAATAACTTCATATATATATATTTATATTTATACTTACATCTTTGATAGTAATTAAAGTCCAAAAATGTTTCCGAAACATAAACAAATAACGATCACATGTCTTCAACTGCATAGCCATAAGAAAGGAACATACAAAATTTAACAATTCTTATCTGTGCCATTATGGAACTAACAGCACTCTTATAATTATGACCCAATCCTATGTGAAAGGTGGGAAGAAGAGGTATAGGTATGAAAAAAACCAATAACCTCTTCAAGAATTCAAACTGGAATCCCCACCAACACACACATAACATCTAAGAAGCGCCAATATGACTCAACAACGTAACGAATTATACTTGTATATGTATATAGATAACGCAAAGTTTCAGGTACTTACTATAAATAATATATATGACTTCGTCCATGAAGCATCAGGCTCTTAAAAAAATTCTCTGGTGTTCAAAGTTGAGGCCTCATGCGGTTGATGACCTAACCGAAGCTCAAGATCTAGTTCACTGTTCTCCTCGTTATTCCCAGCAAAAAAGGGATTATTAGGAAGTGTTTCTGCAGAAGTAGAAGCATCAATACTATTAATTACCTGTGAATTTGTGATTATTGCTAGTGTCGTAATTTTATATCCTCACCAGAATCCCACTGAAACAAAACCTTCTCTTCTGAATTAGAAGGCTTGTAAGGAGGAGGAGGAGGAGGCTGATCATCATCAGAAGTACAAGTACTAGGGTTCTTGATTGAGATGTCCAGAGAAAGCAAGTTTTCTTCAGATGATTGTTTGAGCTTTGCTCTATCTCTTCTGTGGATGTTCATGTGACCTCCTAGGGCTTGAGCATTTGAGAATCCTCTCTTGCAGAAGGCACAAGTATAAGATCTGGCTCCAGATTCTTCCGGGCTCCATCTTACCTGCTCAGATAACTTCTTTGTACTTTGACGGTTAAATTCCATCTTTTTTCTTTCCTAACAATAGCAGAAGTAGCTAGCAAGAGGAACTGAGGCAAAATGAGAAAACAATTGATTTTTTTTTTTTTCCCAAAAGACAAAACTCGGGTCAATCAGGTTTATCTGTTTTGATGATGAGGATGATATATATAAATGAGAGATTAGAAACAATGGTAAAGGCCTACGTACGGCCGCTTGTACGAGTCTTGAAGTGTAGAAACCTTGTATTAAGTAGTAAGAATATTTTTAAAAAATTAATGGGAAAATTTCACTGTAGGACCGCACAAGACAATTAATCTTAAAAAGCCCCCAAAACTTTCTGAAACCTCATTGCAGGACCAAGGGGCCAATCTGATATTAATTCCACAAATGAAATGACGCCACTACCCTTAGCATCAGGTGAACCAGTCCACATGTGAACGGACTGATTCCACGTGTGAATATATGTATTTCTTCTGCAAATTGGCTAGTTCCCCATGCAAATGCGATCTCCCGCACTTGTTCCCTCACGGACACATGCTTTAGGTGAACCAGTTCACATGTGAACGGACTGATTCCACGTGTGAATATATGTATTTATTCTGCAAATTGGCTAGTTCTCCTTGCAAATGCGCTCTCCCGCACTTGTTCCCTCACGGACGCATGCATCAGGTGAACTAGTCTACATGTGAACGGACTGATTCCACGTGTGAATATATGTATTTATTCTGTAAATTGGCTAGTTCCCCTTGCAAATGCGCTCTCCCGCACTTGTTCCCTCATGGACACATGCTTCAGCTGAACCAGTCCACATGTGAACGGACTGATTCCACATGTGAATATATGTATTTATTCTGCAAATTGGCTAGTTCCCCTTGCAAATGCGCTCTCCCGCACTTGTTCCCTCAAGGAAATAAGTTTCTACTAGGGGCAGTGGCGTCATTTCGTTTGTGGAATTAATATCAGATTGGCCCCTTGGTCCTGCAGTGAGATTTCAGAAAGTTTTGGGGGCTCTTTGAGATTAATTGTCTTCTGCGGTCCTACAGTGAAATTTTCCCAAAATTAATTTCAAATAATTTCATTCGAACTTATCCATTCCATTTAAGATTGACCTAAATCATTCTCTTAATTGATTAGATTAATTGGGGATAAAAACTTCGAAAGCCATATTGGATCAATTTGGTAGGAAAGTAACTTGATAAAGTAATAGTTTTGCATTTGGTTTGTGTTCATTCAGTCATGCTACAAGACATCTTGCTTTAGACTGCCTAGAAAAGTACAATAAGAGTAAATAAGAATTTTTATGTTGTGATGCTTTAGGCTCGGTGAAAAGCTAAATAATATTTTCCATTAGGGGTTAAAAGTTAACTTGAAGAGTTAAAAACTCATGAATTAATTATTGATCCACCACCCCACCTCCTAATGATACCTTTTATACTTTCAAGAACGTATTCTATATATTGCATTGTTAATACTCATGTCCTTGAGAACTTGTAGCTGTCAATTGAAATATTAATTTACTTTTTATTTGTTATTTGACTGCAATATCAAATGTCACAAATATAAGAGTATTTTAATCAAAATGATTATATCTTTTGGAACTATTCTGGTAGAAAGAATGGAAAAAGGATAAATGTTTTTTTTCCCTTAAAAAAGAACTAATCTTTTTTCTCTGCCTTTTAGTCGCAGAAACTCGCTAGCTAGTTGGCTGTAGCTGGATAATTAATTACTGTATGTATACTCCCTCTTATCCTTGATATAAAATATTTTTAACTCCGTTACCCAAATTAAGAAATTAGTTAAAAGCAAATTTTATCATTAAAAATATAAAATATTACAACTACTTTCTAAAATTAATATCCCCAAATTAAAATAAAAATCTATCTTAATTTCGTTCAATCTTTTCTTATCTCTCTTTACAATATAATTAATAAAAACATTTATAAAAAAATGAATTGAATATTATTAACCTTTTGCAATTTGTGTTTTATATTGAGGTCCTAAAGGAGCATAACCTTAAAGGCTTTCACTCACAACGTTATTTTTGGATATAATGAAAAGAATTATTTTTAGTTAGAATCTTACAATACTCGAATTAATATTTAACAATATGGAGTATTATATGATTATTAAAACAAAAAGGCGGTGAGCTGATACTTTTGGCAGCCAGAAAATTAAACGACAAAAAAATTAATGGATGTGATCAGCCAATTTTGAAAAAAAAATATTGACGTTGGAAATTTTTGGACTCCTGCCACACTGAAGAGATCACTGCCATTAATTTTTATCTATAAAATTACAAAACTTACTATTGTACCTATGCGAAGCTTCTTTTTTAATTATTAATGGAATTGCTTTTACAGGAAAATCATGCCAAATGGATACACTTTGGGTTAATCAATCTGTTTAATTAAAATTTTTTAGTCATGTAATAATCAATATAAAAGAAATTGTAATAATAAAAGCCGCGCAATTTATAAACTTTGAACAACCTATCTCATTTCTAAAATTCTATGTGATATATAGAGTTTTTCTGGGGGCCAATACCAAATTGGAAAAAAAAAAAACACTTAATGTGGAGCTCAAGTGATGGGATAAACTTATTATCGCACTCACGTATGCACCATTTTCACTGATGTGGGATTAAATGCCATTTCGTTTAAGATTTTTTAAAAATTAATTTTAATTAAGCCAAATATGAGCAGGTTATTGAGAAAACCTTAAGCACAAGGGATGTGTTGGGAAATTTCTTTTTTTGATGAGATGTTTAGCTTAAGTTTCTTCCAACGACTGTCTTGTATTTAACCTAACAAAAATTCGTTTTTTTTTTTTAATCTTAAACAAAGTAGCCCTAAACCCAACCTTATGGTAGGCCTAAAGGCAATGCCTCCACAAAACTTTATGCTATCTATGAGAAAACATTTGGCCCAGCACCACCCAAGAAACTTTGGGCCCATTTTATATCTTGTTTATAGTGTGAATTTCTATAGTATTAAATATATATTGATAATTTGATATATTGATTATTACATATGATATATTCGAAGAACTAATAAATATATGTTATATAGTTGTATTCTCTTATAACATTAACTGATTTTTTTTTTAAACAGATAACCGAGCAACATTAACCGTACATATTGTTTTTTCAATAATGAAGTCTTTGAGTTATTTTGTCCGTTAATATAGATTAAGATTTTGCCCGTATAATTTTGAAGGTATAATTTCTACGCTCAATCAACAATCAAATGTAAAATTTGAGCCGAAAATCAGTAGGCTAAATTTTTTCCGAGTGTTTATTTATTTAAACACAAGATATTTGGAAAATGTTGAAGTCGAAATTTTTAAACTATATATGTTAAGTTGAAATTTATAAAGGCAAAAATGATATCGCATTTGGTGAATGGTAATATAGGAGGAAGATAAATAACGTAACGATAAAGTGGATTTATATGAGAAATAATATTTTAAAACGGAGCTTCATGATATCTTCTTCTATTATAGGTGTTTACTTACATTTCTTTGTCCCCCAATTATATTATGTGTATATATTACATAATAATGTTTTTATTTATTAATCAATAAGTATTCTTCATTAAATGACTATATTAATAATGTCTATATTCGTAAAACTTGATCATATATATAGAAAATTTCGTTTTGCAAAATAATTCCAAAGTATATGTACGGGAAAATGTGTCCGCAGGGACATCGTTGCAAAAGATGATATCTCATGGTTGGGACTGGGGAGACCTAAGAAAATATTTTTGCACACAAAACATTTTCTCTTAACAAATGAAGAGAACATGTGTTAAGAAGTTAATACGACTGATTTATCTCACTAGATAAATTAATGAGATGAATGTCAAGTTTAAGTTGATCCTTTGGGAAAAACAATCTATATAATTAATATGAAAAATTGAAGATAGCGTACGTTCAAATAAACGATATAATAGACTATGTATATGGATCGAGACACACACACACGTAAAATTTTACCCCTAACCTAACCTTTTCTTATAGGAAATAAAAGAGACACACCCACCACATTGAAGTTAGAGCCCAAAACTTCTTTTGGTACCCAAAAAAAAGAAAGAAAAGAACGCATAACCTCTCATTTAAGGGAGGTTACAGGCTCTTGATATGTATCGATATATATATTTCAATCCTTAATATAAGAATTTAGTTGAGAATTTGATTTGGTTTTAAATATAAGATATCAATATATTTTGTCTACTATATTTGTAATCTAATCTTCAAAGTATTCTTATTAATTATATAGACTAAAAGTTTCTATCTAATGGTAGTCCTGATTAAAAAGGGGGCACTTTTAGAAAATTAATTCACATTTATGATAAATTACTAACTTAACTAATTTTTTTTATCTGTTCAAAATAATTAAGTAGTTTTTATATTAAAGACAGGAGCTAATACCTAGCCGTTGAGCATGAGATAATTTTCTTGTTGGAGGTTTTTGGCCGTAAGTTTCTTTTAAAGAAGCTGATATAGGATTTGCATATGCATCAAAACAGGAGCATGCATCCCTAGGAACTGTACTCAAACAATTATTTAACATATAACTGCTCATCATATCAAGAAAAAGAGAATCCGAGAGATCAACGTATCAGATTATTCTCCAGTTATTTGTGTCTGCACACACACACACACACACACACACATATAAACACGCGCACAAACACACATATATATAGAGAGAGAGACTATTTGGTATATGTCAAAAGAGTTGAGTGATCTCGTGAATGAGGAACTTGTTCCCATGCAAATATGCTCTTAGTTGTCAAGGCTGTGTGTGTGCGTGTGTGTGTAGAGAGAGAGAGAGTATAATCACACACCCCAACATATGCTCTGCAATTTCCCTTTCAAAACGTTGTTAAGTATTCTGTAATAATCAATTCCATTTTTGAAATTACCAGAATGCTGCTCACTGTTCAGCAATACTTCCCATGCAGGCCCGTGAGAATCATAATATGATCCCATACCTTCCTCTTACTCACTCTCTTGTAGGGAAAATTATAGAAGTTCATCAATGCATAACCACAAAATTTGATCCTACGCAAGAACTAAGTAATTAAATAAATATGTAACATATCACTATTATAGAAAATTAAATTTATTAACTTTAACTCATAATAAATCATCTCGAAGTATAATTAAGTTTGAGTAATATATAAATTTATATTTTAAATAAAAAACTTTTTAGGATGTTTTGAACTTGAATACTTCATATTTCTGTTATAAAAGAGATCTGTGTCTATATAGATATAATTTAAAAGACATATCGTTCGGGTATAAATATAATTTATCCTATCGTACATAACTCCTTCCCAGTTCAAGTAGAGAAACGACAGTTTCTTCCATGTGCAGTTTCTGCCAACTTTTGAATCCTAATTTTTATTGGTTTCAATTTTGTTATTTATCTTTCTAAATGTCAGACATCAATGTTCTCATTAGACCCAACTCTATGAAAAATTGCTAATTAATGGAACTATCTGATGTGTTTAGACAACAAATATAGCTGGTGCATATATAATTACTTAAAACCAATAAAATTAAGACTATAACGAATTAAATTAAAGTTCATGTAAAGTAGATTAAAGACTAGAGTAGTAGGATAGTGAAGCTGGCCTTTTTTATTTTCAATAATTTTAGGGTTGTCATCGAGTGGCTTGCTGTACGAATCTCTAGAAGAACAAATTAATCAAAATTGTTTAATTAGGGCGTACGAATCTTGAGGGCATAATATTCTCTTATGATTATAATCTCTGGTATCATAGTTACTTTTTCAATAATTGATTGCAGGGCAGGTGTGGCAAATTTTGGAGGCATTTGGCAGAGAGGAGATAAGAGGAAGATTAAAAATAAAGTGGAGAGAGAGAAAGCAAGCATGTGGATTTATGTGGAAGGGATTTTACTAGCTAGCTAAGCAACAGATCTGGTGGGTGATATATAATAAAAACAAAAGAAAAGTGGATCAATGTTGGGACGTATCTGACTTTATATGGCTTTTGAAAAGCTCAATATCAGTATGTTTTATGGGTCAGTTTACCTGTCTCTGATAGAATGTCAGTGAGCTTCTGAATCAAAAAGAGCTCACAATATTCCAAGCAGTTTTTAAAAGACTCACTTTCTTTAACCCTTAAACCCCAAATCATTAACCCAATCTCATCAATAGTTAAAAAGTTAAACTAAACAAACATTAAAACCCATCTCAGCCATGCAGTATGCTCAAGACATGTGGTTTTAAAGTTCAGTCTTTAATAACTGTTGCCCATATAGATAAGATTTGCACAAGAAACGTTTGTGCTCAAGAAGATATTGGAAAGGCATATTTAATGATAAAGGTAAAAAATGTCGATGTAATGTATGCACCCTCTAAAACTTAGCTTTGAGCTTCAAACTAATTAAAAGCAATTCAAGAAAAGCCTCTTTAATGATGAAACTGAGATCATACTCGTATATCTAAGATTACTGAGGAAAACGGTAGGAGGAAAGGGAAGCAACTTAGATTTGAACATAACTCAAAATTCTTACTGTCAATACATGCACTAAATTTTATGGAAGAGGTTAGAATGTCTGTTTTGTTAATAGTAGTCAGAAGTTAAAACCTTTTTGGAGGCGTTGAGACATGCCATAATATATCATGAGGAACTCATTTTGACATAATCCTACTAAGGATTGAAGCTGGACTCATCAATTTCAGCAATCCATTCCTTATATTCGTTATAATAATCAAAACAATGCTTTTTTCTGTCTAGGAAGACGAAGTTTACAATCTTTGTCTATAATTGTGATATAATAAATCATCAGACGCTGCAACTTCAGTACCAGTTTCAGGAGATCCCATGGTCAAACATGAAGGAAGTCTTCGTTTGATGTATAAAATTAAGAAGAAGAAGAGAAAGAAGAAAAGAAACAAAATTGAATACATGATTGTAAGAGGTATATACTATACCTTGGGAGGACTGTGACCAAGCCTTAGCTCCAGATCTAGTTCTTCACTGGAACTAGGACTAATAAACTCGAACATCTGAGACTTGATATGATCGTGCCGATTAACAACTGGAATTGATTTTGAGGAGAATGGAATTGATGATGAATCATCTGTTATTCTTCTCCTCTTGCAGCTCATAATATCAGCTTCTTCCTTATTACAATCAGTGCCTACTATCTCGGACATCTTCTCATCCCCAGATCCAATAAGATCGACCTTTCGAGAATATAATTTTCGTTCAGCAAAGTTTGACCATGAAATACAAGAATCATATGGTGGGGCGGAATTCTCTTGAATCAAAGATGGAGGGGCTAATTTAGCCTCGGGATGATGATCAGAATTAGGGTTAGCGTTGGAATAAGCCAAAGAAGTAGATGTGAGAGAATTTTGATATTCAAGACTGGTTTCATCTTGTTTTTGTGGACTTGGGGGTTGCTTTAGCCTAGCTCTATCTCTTCTGTGAACATTCATGTGGCCTCCTAGAGCTTGGGCTGACCTGAACTCTCTGCTGCAAAAGCTGCAAGAGTATGATCTTGGAGGCCAAATACACCCACCAAGACGCTCATCTTCTGCGAAAGCTTGTTCTTCCCATGAATCGCCATAGGTGAAGTTGTGACTCGGTGAAGCAAGAGCATTATAAGAGCTCAAAGATGAGTGCTTTCTCTTGGTCCAAACCCAACATTGACCTTGTTCCATGGCAGCTCAAACTTAGCTGCAGGTAAAACTAGATTGATGTGAGATGAGTTTGAGCAAAGGACTCTATAAGGCTGGGAATTTGGAAGCCTCCATATCAAGTATGTTTTGGAGGGAATTTCGCTGGGTGGGTTTGGGGAATCATTTTAATTTGTGAGGAGGGTGAAGGCAGTCGGTGTTTGGTACTGTACCTTGCATTTTCCCCCCTCTCTTTTTCGGGTTGAAGAATATATGGAACTGATCATGTTAATTAAAAACCCATTTCAAATCTCTTACAATTACAAAAGTAATTTCATATAAGTTATTCAGAGAAAGATTAAAAGGCCAAAAAACAAAGATATGAATGAAAATTCGAGAGGTTAATTTTACTAGATCAGTTACATTTTTTTTTGAATTCTCCAACACACATTATTTGGAGTGAGATGTGCATGAATCCTAATACAAGTACATTCTTTTATCATGTTCTGCCCAAATATAAGAATCTAATAATCTAATAGACACTTTTAGAATTGGGGTCAGTGTAGGTACATGCGTACAGAAGAGACAGATGGCACACCAAATTAAAAGATTATTCATCAGGGAATCGCCTTAGAAAATATTGTCTATAATCGACGTGCACTTCAAATATAACTCCACTTGTTGACTCCTAGCTAGCTATCTCAGTGTTATATACAGTAGTAGGGGGGAATTATTATCAAGTTATAAGAAAATTTCACCAGAATATAATAACAACTTTCATAAAACTTAAAGGCACGTACCTTTCTTCGTAAATCCTCTAAATGTAATAATAACTAATATATTTATATTTTTAAAAAATAATTAATATTTTTAAGGTCACAGTTTCTACAATACGCATAGCTAATCAAATTAATTAATTCCCTGCATTTCTTGCGGGTAGATAGTGTCATGATGGATTATAAAATTAACTACTAATGTGCGTCCTAAAAGTGTCTTAACCTACTAAGATGTAAGGTGGCCGCAGAGGACTCAAACTTAGTGAAGAAAGATGACTTAAATATGAATATATATTACAAAGAGGTGTCAATTATTTAGTTATAAATGTTCAGAGAACACTAATTGGCAGTTGGGGGTCCTCTTGCTATTTTCATTCAGAAAATTATATTATTATACGACCTAATAATAATAATAATATTGTTCGTTTCTGTACAGATAAGCAATTATGTGACTAAATCTCATATGTTCAATAATCCCATGACAATTGAGTATTTCTCAATAATTAAGCCTTACACGACAGCCAGTTTCTACGTTAATCACTAGTTAAATACCACAGCAAGCACATAAATTAATCTCTTTGAGACTTCGACATTTCATATTACCTAATACCTACCAGCATACATCATACTAATCGTTTTCTTCTTTTATTTTGAGTTTTTTTTTCAAAAATATTATAAAAAGAGAGGTGCCTTAGTGGATTAATATTATTATTTTCTAAAGCTGACAAATTTATAAAGGCGTGTGATTGACGAATTTGCACTGGGTTTAATTAATTGTTTGATTTTTATTATTGTTATGTATACTCAGATCCTCTGGTTTCTCCGAACAAGGACAAAAGTAAAACTTTTTTTATAGCCACGTATAAATTAAAATAATTTCACATCATGTTAGAAGTCATCGTTTTATTATTTTTTCAGATAATAAGTCTAATCTCTTCTGCGGTAATATTGAGAGTAAATAATAGATTTTTTTCAATCAGGTTGCTATACATACAAGAGTTGAAATTTGATCTCCAAAGTCCAAATCATCTGTTTAAGTGACAAAAATCTCTATCACTCACCAACTTGAGTTGGTATTTTTAAGCATTATTTAGATGAACTATTATAACGGTATACATGCATGAAAATCTAGTATGTGTGTGCATGTGTGTATTTAAAAGTTGTAAAGTACAACTAGTGAGAGATGAATGATGTAAAAGAAAATAATAAGAAGGAAGAAATTAACCCATAAAAAAAATGAAGGAAGAATTTAAAGAGAGCAAGTGAGTGATCGAATGAGATTTTTCTTTTTCACTTGATTTGACCATATATGTAGTTGCATTTAAACTTTGATTTTTATTTTTATTTTAAAAATTATACTGAACAGATAATTGTTAGTTTGAATATAAATTCGTTATTTATTAAGTAATAATATTAAATTTAATAAAATATCCATATTTAGTTTTTGTTTATATACTGAAAAACCATTAATTATGAAGAATTTCATGCTTGGAAAGCGGTTCTCATCACGCAAGTTGATAATGTAATTGAATTATTTGCAACTTGACAAATACACAAACATTATGATCATTTGAAAGCAGAAACATTCCATCCCCAGAATTTGACAAAACAGAAAAGACAGATACCTGCTTCTTTTATATTATAATTTCTTGATACGATTAGTTTATAATGAAGATGCATGTTGTTCTCTCTATTTATTTATAAACTTAACAATAATTATTATCTTATTCCATCTCTCTATACGCTGCAAAATTGTCTTCTTTCTCTCTACTTGCATATGTTCTTTATATCTCCTGCATTAAGGCGCTCGATCCGTTTTGTTTTAATGTAAAATATACAATACATCCAGAGAGAGAAAGTAGACAGCAAATAATAGAGAATTACAGAGAACAGAAAATAATTGATGAGAGATATATGAATAATAGAAAGATATTGACATGACACTAGATCACCCAAAAATGGTAAGCTGTGTTTTTAGGGGAAAAATTAAGAAAACTAAAGTTCAAAAATCTTAAAAAACATATTAGTTTTTGAAATTAAAATTTTATCATACATTAAAATTAATTAATTATTGAAGTATAATTATTTTTGCAAATTTATAGTTACCATAATTTTGTTAAAAGTTTGCAATAACTTCTTTTTTTTTTTTTGCCAATTGCAATAACTTCTTATATGTAAAAGGTTTGTGTAAAATCTAACAATAATGTCAATATTTATGGCCAGCAAATAATTTCACCCTTATTAATTTTTCAATCAGTGTTTAAAATATAATTCTTCTTCACAAATGAATGGTAAGATTCGGACTTATCTTATGGTTATTAAATAATAATCATGTCAACATATGAGGCAGCATTAAATTAAAGATACAATTTAAATATGGTCTCAAATATTAAACATGTTGATATGTAAAGTAATATGAGATAAGTTATTGGCCAAAAAAATTCAAGAGACAATTCATTTTGAAATATATATAATTAATGACGATGATTAATTTTATTTGCGTGTTGCTTGAGGATGCTCACATGCATATATATTA